TTATCTTGTTTGGATGTTGAACAATCAATATCCTTTTTGCCCATAAGGATACCTCACAAAGATAAATTTTTAGGCATGTGAATCAAATTTTTCATGTTGGTGTGAAAGAGTGGATGCATAACATAGGCACCCAAAAACTCGTAGGTGACCATATGTGGGTAAGTTTTGAAAAAGGAGCTTGTACGGTGTTTTTTTGGAAAGTAAGGATGTGGAAATATGATTAATAAGATGGATAAAAATCATCTCCAGTCACTTCTCACTGGAGCCAGTCCAGTTGTGGGACCCGCAGCTAAGGTGGCAAGGCAGGTAAAAGGGAGAAGCACTGTAGTTTTCTGGATACCTGCTTATACGTTTTGTTTTGCTTATACTCTGTTGCAGCAATACGTTTTGCTTATACTCTGTATTTCATTTTAAACTCAAAATTCCCCCCAAAACCAAAATTAAGGTTGGAGCCAAAATTGATCTGATATATATATACAGATGTATACCTCTGATATATGATGTTTCTCTGGTCTGATCTATAAACCGAAAATGAAGACGCGAAGCCTCTGCTCTGTAAACCAACACATAAAATCGAAGCCTTTGCTCTGTAAACTAAGACATAAAATTGAAGCCTTTGCTCTATAAACCAACATATAAAGATGAAGATTTATGAAGAGAAGGTCAAGGATTTAGGCACATAAAGATTTTTGAACATAAAAAGGACCCAGTTCAAAACCTCGGTTGGGAAAAATCTCCATAAATTCTGGCGACAAGCTGAACTTCTTAATCTACCTTCCGACGAGATGTTGAAGCTGCGATCATCCATTCCGGCAAAAGGTGAAGGATTCCGGCTACAAGGTGAATGTCCGATCATCCATTCCGGTGATCAGCTAAAGCTCCGATCAACCAGTCCGGCTAGAAGCTTTGATCATTATAAGTATTAGGTTGTTATTTTAAATTTTTTGTAACTTTATTCATAATGATATATGAAATGCGGTGGTGATTATTGGTAATCCAAAAATCTGAAGGCTAGGTTATTAGTCCTGATGAGCATGAATGCTTCTTATTTTCAAGCAACCCGAGAATTGGGAAGCTTGTTGTTATGCGTATTTAATGTTCCTATTTATCTTTTTTAGCCTTTTTCTCTTTTTCTGAATGAACCCAATTAGTCATCACTGAACAAAGAAATTTTTATATTGTATATGCATATACCAGATTTTGATGTTTGTTCTTCTGCCTATTATATGTCCATATTTATCTGTTTTAGCCTTTGTGAAATAACTTTATTTGTAAATGAACTATATTAGTGATCAGTTATAATAGAAGTTTACAATTGTATATGCATATACCATTTTGAAGCTTGTTCTTGTGCCAATGTTATGTCCATATTCATCTGTTTTAACCTTGTCCAATCCTAAACTTTATTACTTTTCAGTTTGAATAAAATTGTAGAATAGTATTTGTATATCCCAAATATTGAAACATGTGATGTTGTATTTATGAAAGTGTTGACATATGTTATAGAAAAGTTGTGTTATGAAGGTCAACATATGCCACATGTAATAAAACGGTTGCATTAATGGTAATGCATTATAGTAGTGTAGAAGTCAATTATATGTGCATATGTTAGGTTTGCCACCAACTGTGTTCATATATAGTTTACAGTTGCTGTATTTGAGATGTATTTGATCTGTTAACATATGGCACATGTTAGGAAATGGTAGCATGAATGGTGAAGTATTGTAGTAGTGTAGAAGTAAATTTTATGTGGATATGTTAGGTGAAAGATGTGATACTGTATTTATAAAACTGTTGACATATGTTATAAAGAAGTTGTGTTGTGAAGGTAAAATTATGTTTACCAGAAATTGTTTGCATATCTATGTTAGATGTATTTGTTACGGCAACAGACACCACATGTTATGAAAAAGTTGCATTAATGGTAATTCATTGTAGTAGTGTAGAAGTAAATTTTTAATGGATATGTTAGGTCAAATATGTGATGCTGTATTTATGAACTTGTTGACATTTGTTATATAGAAGTTATGCTAAGAAAGTCAAATTATGTTTGACACCAATTGTTTTGATATCTAATGTACAGTTGAAGAAAGTTATATGAATTTGATCTGTTAACATATAACACTTGTTAGAAAATGGTTGCATGAATGGTAAAGCATTATAGTAGTGTAGAAGTAAATTTTATGTGAATGTGTTAGCTGAAAGATGTGATGTTCTATTTATGAAACTGTTCGCATATGTTATAAAAACGTTGTGATGTAAAGGTCAAATTATGTTTGTCACCAATTGTTTGCATATCTAATTTAAGCTCGAATTATGTTATATGTATTTGTTATGGCAACATATGCCACATGTTAGAAAAAAGTTTCATTAATGGTAATTCATTATAGTAGTGTAAAAGTAAATTTTTAATACATAGGTTAGGTCAAATATGTGATGTTGTATTTCTGAACCTGTTGACATATGTTATATAAAAGTTGGGGTGAGAAAGTGAAATTATGTTTGACACCATTTGTTTTGACATGTAATATACAGTTGAAGTTTACTATATGAATTTGATCTATTAACATATAGCACATGTTAGAAAATGGTTGCATGAATGGTAAAGCATCATAGTAGTGTAGAAGTAAATTTTATGTGAATGTGTTAGCTGAAAGATGTGATGTTCTATTTATGAAACTGTTGGCGTATGTTATAAAAAAGTTGTGCTTTGAAGGTCAAATTATGTTTGCCACCAATTGTTTGCATATCTAACTTAAGCTTGAATTATGTTAGATGTATTTGTTATGGCAACATATGCCATATGTTAAAAAAAAAAGTTTCATTAATGGTAATTCATCATAGTAGTGTAGAAGTAAATTTTTAATGGATAGGTTAGGTCAAATATGTGATGTTGTATTTCTAAACCTGTTGACATATGTTATATAAAAGTTGTGGTGAGAAAGTGATATTATGTTTGACACCATTTGTCTTGACATGTAATGTACAGTTGAAGTTTGTTATATGAATTTGATCTGTTAGCATATAGCACATGTTAGAAAATGGTTGCATGAATGGTAAAGTATCATAGTAGTGTAGAAGTAAATTTTATGTGAATGTGTTAGCTGAAAGATGTGATGTTCTATTTATGAAACTGGTGGCATATGTTATAAAAAAAGTTATGCTGTGAAGGTCAAATTATGTTTGCCACCAATTGTTTGCATATCTAACTTAAGCTTGAATTATCTTTGATGTATTTGTTATGGCAACATATGGCACATGTTAAAAAAAAGTTCCATTAATGGTAATTCATCATAGTAGTGTAGAAGTAAATTTTTAATGGATAGGTTAGGTCAAATATGTGATATTGTATTTCTGAACCTATTGACATATGTTATATAAAAGTTGTGGTGAGAAAGTGATATTATGTTTGACACCATTTGTTTTAACATGTAATGTACAGTTGAAGTTTGTTACATGAATTTGATCTATTAACATATAGCACATGTTAGAAAATGGTTGCATGAATGGTAAAGCATCATAGTAATGTAGAAGTAAATTTTATGTGAATGTGTTAGCTGAAAGATGTGATGTTCTATTTGTGAAACTGGTGGCATATGTTATAAAAAATTTGTTCTATGATCGTCAAATTATGTTTGCCACCAATTGTTTGCATATCTAATTTAAGCATGAATTATGTTAAATGTATTTGTTATGGTAACATATGCCACATGTTACAAATTTCTTGGCTGGATGTTAATTCATTATAGTAGTGTACAACTAAATTTTATGTGGATTTGTTATGTTAAATATGTGATGTTGTACTTATTAAACTGGTGACATATGTTATAATCAGGTTGTGCTGTGAATGTGAAATTATATTTGCAACTAGTTGTTTGCATAGCTAGTGTACACTTGAATGATGTTAGATTTATTTGTTATGGTAACATATGGCAGATGTTAGAAAGTTATTGTTTCAATGTTAATGCATTATACTAGTGTAGAATTAAATTTTCAGTGGATATGTTAGGTGAAAGATGTGATGTTGTATTTATGTATTTCACAGCAGTGTACAATTATAGTATGTTGCATGTATTTGTTATGGCACATGTTAGAAAATGGATGCATGAATGGCAATGCATGATATTAGTGTAGAAGTAAATTTGATGTGGATATGTTAGGTGAAAGATATGATGTTGTATTTGTGAAACTGTTGACATAAGTTATGTAAATGTTGTGTTGTTATGATATACTTACTTTTTTGTCATGTTTTTGTAGGTCTACTATTATAGTTATGGCTATTGGAGAGGCAATTATTAACATTGAAGAGACAAATAGTGATTCAGTTTGCGAAATTCCTGAAGTAGAATGGATACCCCGTGTTGATATGCAGTTTAATTCTGAAGAAGCGGCTTATGATTTTTACAATGAATATGGTGGTAGAGTGGGTTTTAGTATTCGGAGAGAGTACAAAAACAACAGTCAGAAGGATGGAAAACTAACATCTAGAAATTTTGTGTGTTGTAAGGAGGGAAAAAGAGGTGAGGACAAGAGGGACAAGAAAACAAAGAATCGAAGGGCTGAAACATGCACCGATTGTCGTCCACACATGCTTATTGCCTTTAATGTGGAATTTGGTAAGTACATTGTCAAAGATTTTAAAGATACTCACAACCATCCCCTCATCAGTGAGGATTGTGCCCATATGATGCCGTCGCAGCGAAAAATAAAGTCAGTGCAAGCTATTGATGTGGAGTTGGTTGCCGATTGTGGAATACCAATTCGTAAAGCCTTTTGCGTTAAGTTCAAGGCAATTTGGTGGTAGAGAAAGTATTGGCTTCATTAAGGTTGATGTACAAAATTATATTCAGACGAGAAGACAGAACGACCTTGAACTTGGTGATGCAAATTGGCTGATGAATTATTTCCAAACACAGTGTTTGGAAGATCCATCATTCTTCTATGCCGTGTAATTGGACAACAGTGCAATGACAACAAATATATTTTGGGCCGATTCAAAAATGATATTAGATTATGGGCATTTTGGAGATGTGCTGACATTTGATACCACGTACAAACTTGTTCATGGGAATCGGTCTTTTGCAATTTTTCTCGGTTTGAACCATCACTGGGAGACAGTTGTGTTTGGAGTAGCTTTCATGTATGATGAGACAACCGATTCTTTTGGTTGGTTATTCAATACATTCTTGAATGCCATGTCCCATAAAGCACCAAGGACGATCTTGACTGACCAAGATGCTGCAATGGCAAAGGCATTAGTCCAGGTCATGCCTGATACAAAACACCTTCTATGTACATGGCACCTAATGCAGAATGCCCAAAAGCATCTAAGAAATTTGTCTGTTGGTGGGAAAGGCATAAAAAGTGTGATATCTAAATTAATGTACGAAATTAACTGTGAGGAAGAATTCTTACTGGAATGGGCGTGGATGGAAAAGGAATTTGCTGTAGAGAATAACAAGTGGTTGGCCAACTTATTTGGTTTGAAACATGTATGGGCCAGAGCATACGTTAAACATGTGTGGTCGGCTGGTATGCGTACTACACAGCTTAGTGAGAGCTTCAATGCTCGCTTAAAACAGTACTTAGTGAGACAATATGCACTGCCAGAGTTTTTCAAGCATTTTGAAACGCTTTTGTTCGACAAACGATACAAGGAGTGTGCAGCTGAGTATGACTTGTTGCATAAGATGCCCAGGCTGAAAACAAGGTCTTCTATTTTCTATCAAGTCAGATGTCTGTACACTACTAACATCTTTGACCTTTTTCAGGAACAGTTAATAGTAGCTGGCATGAGTGAAAATGTCCGGCAGTGCAACGACCTTGGTAATGGGGTTTTTTCATTTGAAGTTGTGGTTTATAATGATAACTTCCATCGGGTCGTCACAAGGACAGATGATGACTTATTATCATGTTCATGTGGAAAATTTGAAATAGAGGGTATCATGTGCAGCCACACTCTGAAAGTCCTTAAAGATGTGATGTATGCCAATGAAATACCCAGCCACTATATTTTAAAAAGGTGGACCAGAAATGGGAAGGATGGCAGGGTGGAAGACATACTTGGCAGCGATGTTATTACAGATCCTAGATTAGAAATTAGGCGACGACACAGGGTCCTTTATCGTTATCTAACTAAAATTTCTGCCATTGCATCAGTGAGTGAGGAGGGATTCAACAATGTTTTGGTGCAGGTGAAAATTTGAAGAAGATTGCTCAAGGAGCACAACCTAATCCCAGGCCTGCATGTAACCAAACTGCACGAGCCAATGCCATGGGAAATAACTATACAAATATAGAGCCGAATAGTCATGCGCAAACCATAGAAGGATTAACTCCCAAAGGGATTGCCACGAAAGATACATTGAAAGGAAGAAGACGTAGGCTCATACCTGCTTTGGAAAGAGCCACTGCGAAGAAGAGAAAGGCCGTTGTGCCAGGTCGTAGTCGTACTACGACAACCCCTACATATATTTTAAACAATGTGAGTCTTATTTTGTGTTTTATATATCCCCTACATGATCTATAGTCTAACGTATTGATGAAGTGATGATTTTTGGTGAAGGGTGCTGAAATACCAGTAGAGTTTTTCTGCTCTGATAAATGTTATATGCCAACATGTTCAATACAGGGCCACGATTAGGATAACGGTCCGGCTACTTATTTTGGTCAGCCCATGACTCCATTAAATAACCAGGTATGTGATGTCATCTAAATTAATTAAACTCATGAAATTATTTAAGAAATTTAACGACCTATTTTTGTATGCATGTGATATAAAAAGGAAGTTGATGTAGATGTTGTACGTGACATAAATTTCTCGCTAATGATCCAAATGCCAAACATGAATTCTACATTTGAGCAACAAGGGTTCCAAGAATTACCATGATATGGTAGCAGGGTACAATAAGTGTACTTCATCGCGATTTCTTCGTTATTGCCATGGTTACACTTCCTTTATTTTGCTGAGTGGTCAAGATATTGTAGGGGTGTCACTGTACATGATATCTTCTACTCCAGTATATTTGTTATGTAAAAAATATTGTATTTAAGTTAGCACTGCACTTCCCTATTTATATTGAACACTTTATATTTGACCATTTATTCCTTGCCTTCATTGCAATTGAATGGTTTGTTTAGAACATTAAAGACCCCACTTATTATTTTCAACCTACGTTATGCCTCAGATTATATTTAGGGCATCTGTATCTCCATAGCAGTCGTCCCATCCCATTTTTAAATTGACAGCCCTTCAAAGTATAAGCAATGGCTGGCCGTCGGTTTACCTTGTAGTGAAGGGCCAGAATGTTAGTATATACACGAAGTTGGCGGAAGCAAAGGCACAGACATGAGGGTATGCTAATGCAAGGTATTATCCATATAAAACTCATGCAGAAGCTGTTCAAGCCCTGGGTAGATGGAATGCCCACTTCCATGGCGAATTATTAAACATGGATATTGGTGCGGTAGAAGACGATATTCAAGTTATGGAAGGCGGTCCACCTCCACATCCGCCTGATCCAGACAGTGAGCGACAACATCGTATTAGGTATAATGAGTTAACAAATGCTAGGGGTGTAATTGTGGCAGAGTGCAGAAGATAAGGTCTGTCAATTCCAAGACCTCGTTCACTTAAAATGAAGCTCTCAAGTACATCAAACATGGATTCCATGATTGGTCAAATCAAATGCGAGATCCGACAACTATATGTGAGATGGCGTAAGTTCAAGAAAGTGAAACATGCTAAAGAAACATACAAAGATCCGGAAGAACAGTTGGCCACCATCTTCAATGACCCAGACCTAAAATCAGATTCAGAAATGTCTAATTTTTCAGACCCAGCAGATGATGACTTTGTAATTCCACCTCCAAGACATGGTAGAAAGAAATAATGTGAGTGGATGTAACAAATATCATTTATGGAGTTCTACCTTTATTGTAATAGTTAGTATCCAACTAAATTAGTGGGAATAACATCAGAATGATTTCATATGTTTAATCGTAATTAATTTATATGTAATGTAGGAATGATTTCGTAACATAAGTCAAAACAAAAATTACCGTACAGTTGGACAACATAAATGAACTTTAAAAAAACGTATTAATGATTGACACGTGGGAACTTCCATCTTACCCTTCTTATGTAAGTGGATGTAACAAATGTTATTTATGGAGTTGTACCTTTATTGTAATACTTATATTCTAATTAAATTACTGGGAATAACATCAAAACTATTTCATATGTGTTGTCATAATTAATTTATATGTAATGTGGGAAATATTTCGTAACAGAAGTCAAAATAAAAATTACCGTTGAGATAAAAATTTATTTTATAATGTACACGTGTACACCTGGACAACATAAATGAACTTTAAAAAAATGTTCAAATGATCCAGACATGGGAACTTCCACCTTACCCTTCTAACTGTTGTTATATTGAAACGTTTGGACTATTGAACTACCCTAGGCAAAGTATAAGTGGTTAATTCATGTGTCTATTTATATCGCCATATCCAGTCAGTGCATGTATTCGAAAGCCATGGATTCTGTTATGCAGATTACGATTGAAGATGTGGTGAGACGCATTGAGGCTACAGCTTTTAGAAACAGTGCGGAGAAGCATGCATGGTGAGTTATGTTTATACTTTACAATTTACATGCATTATCGGGTTATGGGTCTCCATTACTCAAGTGAGGAATATGGGTGTTGTTCGTATTAAAATGTAGGGAAACGACAGAACTGGGCACAGGACCATGGACCACGGGTCTACAGCGATACGATACAACAATTGATTTACTTGCAGGTGATAGACCAAATGAAAGTATCCCAGCAAGACGTATGTACTTGGAATAATGTTTTCAATCTAGGGATCATGTTGCAAAGTTCATTAGGGGAGTGGTATGTTTAGGAAGATCATGTGTACTCTTTTACGCATTACACTTCATTTATTTGTAAGGTCTAACATGCAAACAAATTTGCACAGGTTGATTGGGTTGTCTACAATGAAAAAAATAGGGTTGGTTTTCCTCTGTAGAAATGCTTACCTGTCCCTCTATCCTATGTGTATTGCATTATTTTTTTCCAATGAAGCGGACAAAGAGGCGGGGATTAATTTGTTAACGTTGATGAGGACAAATTCAATACTGAGCCCTTCTATCAAGTCTGCCTGTCGAAAGATGTTAACAATTATTCAGAGGACTTTTTCCTGCAATCGGCCATTCTTTATGCATGTTCCAAAATGTTGTCCCGAAGGCAACCATATTGATTGGCATTGCTAGATCATAAACGAGGATGTCATCAATTGTAATCGTTATTAGTGTGATTTAAATATCATGCTTTTGTAAGGTCGTATTTCGGCACATCACATTGAATGATTATTTGGGTAGTTCTGTATTTTTATTGGGTTTGTGTGTGGACTTTCGGCACATGACAATGGACTTTATTCATTAATATTTGTAATTATTATTTAATTTGTGTATGGATATTTATGTATGGATATTTGGGTAGTTTTTATTAAATTTTTTTTTTTTTTTTTAAATTTATTTGGGTAGTACTGTTTTCATTCTATAAATTTTTATTTTTTACTTATGTGAATTGTTCACATCCTTTCTTTTTTTTTTTTAGCGGTCCCATTACCCCTTAAGGTATGAATTCACACTAACCTTTTATAAATATATTCTTTATATATATATATATACACACATATACATATATGCTTTAAATGTAAATTTTTCCTTGCAGATGATCCATTCCCACATCACAAAACATATGTCACAACTTTATTTATGTTTTAAACATGTGTCACAACTACATAAAATAACATAACATGTGTCAAAAGCAGGTAGCTAATGGATAACCTATTTCCTCTGTTTCAAAGAAAATAATCAGCGTTCTACAGGAATATTTCAATTGAAACATCGTCGCCATATTTGAATCACTGCGGAACACCATTCTGTCGAGTATGTCAGGGATAGAAGCATATACGTTCATGGCAAAAGGATGTGGAATAGCACGAATGAATGGCAGTCCACACAAATCTTCTAAAAATTTCAGGTAACCATAATTTTCTGGGTTCACATTTTTGATTTCACTAGTATGCCGACCATAGTGAACAATAATAGAAACCATGCCGCGAATGCAGTCTGAAAAGAAAGTGCTCAAAACTGACTAGTTCAGTGCTCAGACTGACAAATACAAATTATATATACACAGTTAAGATAAAAAAAAAAAAAAAAAAAAAAAAAGTATAGTTAAGATAGGAAAACTCACCAACTTCTCGAATTGCAATTTTATGCTTTGGAATATTTCTTGGGTTGCAAGAAGCTGCCTTGGATATATTCAGTAAACTGAATAGTAATTAGTAGTTGGCCACTATTAACTTCTCATTTATACCCAATAACTTCATTAAGTATACTTGTTTTACACAAATATCTTAGTTATAAATGCAATGCAGTTGCATCTCTTTTTGGCCGAACAAGTAATTGAATGTAGCATTTCCACTCTGTTTTGACAAGTAATTGATTGCAGGTGCATCTTTCCTTCTGCCACACAAACCTCTCTGATGCATCTCTAAATGCATTTATGTATGGTCAGATATGGTAGTTACATTTCCACCCTATAAAACCTAACTATCCACACTTTGTCTAACCACAGGCACAACCAAGATGGAAAGGAAACCTAACCCATCTCCTCCACCACCAGTCCCCCATCCTCAAACAAGCACAGATGAGACTGATGAGTTAGATATGAACCATCCTAACTTTCTGAATACCGTGATGGGTAAGCTGACCCGTGTCATCAAGAAGATGCAGAGGATGGAGAAAGAACTGCGCTGGGTGGAACGTCGCTTAGCAGAGCTGGAAACCAAGCACGACTATGCCGAAATGAACGAGCTCCTTCCTCCATCTCCCATATCCTCTCCAAATGAAGGTCAGAACCCAGACGATGCGTAGAAAGGAGCCAGAAGTTCAAGTCTTTTGTTATGTCATATATAGATCCATGTATTTTGGAAGCCTTTTGTAGTTCCTATAAGGAACTTACTTTCATGCGTACTGCATGAAATATGAAATGTGAAATATGTACTTTTTGTATTATATATTGTTTTATATATTACATATAGGTATCTGTTACAAGTAACTAAAATAAAAAAAAAAACATCATACTATTATACTAACTAATATCACAATTATATTTGATATAATGTA